CCCATTCATAGAGGCCGGCGTGTTGTCTATTGTTCGCGGGGCTTAAAGCCTCGCAGAATACAAATCGATCGTTAACGCGATCGAAATCCTGTTTCCACGCTGTTGAATCTCGACTAATCACTCGCCTCGATACGAGCCGCCCAGCCTGTGACATGTCGACAACACGTTCTGCGTTTAGCATGCGAAATTGACAAAGGAACCGCTGACTTCGCGAAAAGATTCAAAAAACTAGATTATCCTGCTTTCTTTTTCTCCTCGAAATCGTCAGGATTCTTTACGGTCGACGTTCACCTCGCTGGATGGTGAAGGGTGAAGATAGCCACGGAATAATTTAACAAGATGCATAAACTTCTCGCCCATTAGTGTTCCACTTTTGTGCTGTTAGGACGAAGAATATTTAATGAATTTCCCGGGCTTGTTACGCGCCTCTTCCTTATGGACTATCCCATGGATACTTTTCCTCCAATAATTATTTAAATTATTGCTTTCTCGGATCTTTACAAAACTCTAACTTCTGTTTCATTTAATAAAACTCCGTTGAATACTTAACACTACAATGATCGCTCCACAAGTTTCTTATTATAAAATACATATTTTGTTAAAGTACATTCCTTGAAATCAGCATTGATTTTCATCAAGATAAAGAATAAACGTGTGTACCAATTTATGTTTTGTCGTTTGTTTATTTATTTTTTAACTTCATTTTACACATTATATGTCGGTAGGTTTAGCGTTAATTAGATGAACTGTGCGATGTTTAGATATTTAGGTACCTGGGTACTTAAATATTAGATCGTTGCTAAAATACTTGCCTCGATAGTACTATATGTCGAAGTATTCGAGTGGTTAAAACATATAGATATCCGCAACAATAAAACAGACAAACAAATGTGATTCAAAGTTTCCGTAAAACGATTCTCGTATGCTTCGATTGTTCGCGCATGAAATGTGGGTGTTTCCGTCGTCTCGATTCTCTTCCCCAAATAATCGTCCGTAGAAACGTATTATTTCTCGACGATAATTCCCAAGAACCCTCGAGCGTGTTCGCGAAAGTGTATATCTAGGTGAAGTCGAAGGAAAACCAGGCCGGAAGTCGATGTTTTTTCAGCGGTATTTCCGTCACATTTTTTCAGTTCCAGAATTTTTTGCCGTCCGATTTCGCGAGCTAATATTTGCTCGTCAATGATTAACAGGCTATTACCACGGTAACAACCGAAATTGTTGCTTTTTTCCTACGAGCCTTCAGATTAACGATGTGTCGGCGGATGACACGCGTGTACGGTTACATGATAAATTGTTGTCGAACAAGGAGCAATAATCGGCCAGCTAGCCATCCGCAATGGCAATTTACCTACGCTATTAATTATCACGACTCGACCAGTAACGTCGATAAATATTGTTTCACTGTCGCCGAACGTTTCTTTTTTCGCGTGTTTGTTACCTAGCCATTTGAAAATTGACCGAGTGCTCGCGTGAGATCGATCTACTAAAAGCATGACTGTGCTCCCGACAATTGTTCTGTTTTTACGTCGGCAACATTTTCTGTTACTGCACCTATCGAGTCCTAAGCATTTGTATATTTCGGTGTTCGTACATAGCTACTCGAGTACTGTGTACCAATTTATGTTTTGTCGTTTGTTTATTTATTTTTTAACTTCATTTTACACATTATATGTCGGTAGGTTTAGCGTTAATTAGATGAACTGTGCGATGTTTAGATATTTAGGTACCTGGGTACTTAAATATTAGATCGTTGCTAAAATACTTGCCTCGATAGTACTATATGTCGAAGTATTCGAGTGGTTAAAACATATAGATATCCGCAACAATAAAACAGACAAACAAATGTGATTCAAAGTTTCCGTAAAACGATTCTCGTATGCTTCGATTGTTCGCGCATGAAATGTGGGTGTTTCCGTCGTCTCGATTCTCTTCCCCAAATAATCGTCCGTAGAAACGTATTATTTCTCGACGATAATTCCCAAGAACCCTCGAGCGTGTTCGCGAAAGTGTATATCTAGGTGAAGTCGAAGGAAAACCAGGCCGGAAGTCGATGTTTTTTCAGCGGTATTTCCGTCACATTTTTTCAGTTCCAGAATTTTTTGCCGTCCGATTTCGCGAGCTAATATTTGCTCGTCAATGATTAACAGGCTATTACCACGGTAACAACCGAAATTGTTGCTTTTTTCCTACGAGCCTTCAGATTAACGATGTGTCGGCGGATGACACGCGTGTACGGTTACATGATAAATTGTTGTCGAACAAGGAGCAATAATCGGCCAGCTAGCCATCCGCAATGGCAATTTACCTACGCTATTAATTATCACGACTCGACCAGTAACGTCGATAAATATTGTTTCACTGTCGCCGAACGTTTCTTTTTTCGCGTGTTTGTTACCTAGCCATTTGAAAATTGACCGAGTGCTCGCGTGAGATCGATCTACTAAAAGCATGACTGTGCTCCCGACAATTGTTCTGTTTTTACGTCGGCAACATTTTCTGTTACTGCACCTATCGAGTCCTAAGCATTTGTATATTTCGGTGTTCGTACATAGCTACTCGAGTACTTGACATTTGAACATTGTATCCTTGAACACTCGTGGAGGAGATCGGATGTCTTCCTGAAACAACAGCACTGATCGTGGAACACATAGTCATACATATAAAATGTAGAAGAGTAGCAGGGGGGTTTGGGGCTGGTTTCCAAGCAACAGATATCATTAGACGAGCGGAAGGTGAGCGGCGAAGGTGGCGGGCCAGGTGCATGCGAATAAAGGATTCACGTTTCTTCGTCGACCTTCCCGGCCCATTGTCAGGCGTTATGGTGGCAGGATAACGCCAGGGCGGAAGGCGAGGGGCACCGCATTGCAGGCAAGGGCGTTGTCAGGGGCGACCCTAGCGACCGTAAGGCCTGATTCCCACCGAATCAACCCTCCGCGATTCGACCGCCAAAATAATAGCTATACTCTACGAATATCGATCCTCGATTTCGACTGCCACCTCTGAACTTATCACAAATTATACCAGCACATTTTTTCAATTTTTATCATAGCACACTTCGAAGACTAACATATGTGAGTCATGTGTGTACGATTTAAATCTCCGATAAAATGTGGAGATCCACGACTCGCAGTATGTTCAAGGTCCTACGACCTTGATAGGATCTCGAAGCGTTCTTGAATATTAAAATTAATTTTTCAAACTAAACACAGTCTGTATCGATGAGATATCGATTTGAGGCACGAAGAATCGATCGGTTCAGAGGACTAATTTATGACACGGACCGCTTTGGCAAAGTTTCACGGTTCGCGAATGGCGGTAATTAGGTGTCGAAGTTTTAATGGTGCGTTAAGACTGCTTTCGGACAAGAACCCACCCCTTCCCACACTCTTTATCCTCCAAGATTAATGGATCGAAGATTTTACGATCAAAACCCGGCACAGAAAGATTAAGCGCAGAGAAATTAACTCGGTTATTAAACTGTGGAAAAGCGCGATTTCATTAGCCGAACCAATCTGTTGTCCAACGAAAATTCTTTCGGAATTGTAGTCAAGAGCATTTTTGTTCGGTCACGTAGGAATATTAATCTTTGGTTCGCAAATTTTTTCATAATTTTCTAGGAAATTTATGCATCGTCGAATTTCACGAGTTTGCGAACCACTTTATTTAAAGTATTAGAAGGATCGAATTTCTTCCGATATTTGGTCCGATCAACTATCGTAAAGTGAAATCATTTGATCTTCAACACGTTCGAACCCGTATGAAACATGTAATATTACCCACAGATTTGTTAAACGTATTATAACTGTCGTTAAGTCATCTCTGATAATCAGAATAAATCTAACTCGATAAGCTTCAACTTTCATTATCATCAAATTTTCATCTTCCAATTTGATCCGCAACGATCGGAGATTCTTGTTACGGAGATAATTCGAGTACAAATTGTATCTCGGAGATAAATGGCAGTTTTAAAGCAGCACAGTCGTGACAAGAATATCGGCAATTACCTTAAAGCGTGTTCGTTAAGCAGCTAAACGTTTGCATTTGCAATGCAGAATAAATTGAAGATTATTAATACTGTCAGCCACATATTTGACAGTGATATCAGAGATATTTCAGGACCACGTTGCAGCAGTCCATAATTCAAACAAGTTGCTCGTATCGCATTTGTTTACGAATCGTGATAGGATGACGACATTCCGGTTGTTTACATCCAATCAACTTAATTTCCGGTTACGCGAATCGTCGGAGATTTTACCGTGTTATTATCGAGTCGGGTCAGTGCATCGATGACTCCGTTAGCTCTGCTTTCCCTTGCCCGGTCGAACCGACTGTGCAATTATCCTAACCGATCCGTTTTCTACTTTGCAATTATTCGTTTCGTACGCTGCTTTCTGCGCGGCAACTGACACACTTTTATCGTTATGCATTTGGGTATCTAGGCTCTTTTAATTTTAATACTCAACCGTGCGAGTTGGCTAGGATTATCCATTCGTTTTTCTTGTCAAGAATTACATTTGATCTGGAAAGGAAGAGTAATTGTCCGAAGAAGGTAGTTATTGGAGACAGTCGACTTAATATCCTTTGAACCGAATCAAGTGGAGAATAGGAGGCAAGACATCATCGGTCATTGCGCATCGTTAACGCAGCCACCACTGAAGCTTCCGGGCGCATCGATTTATGCTAATCGCTTTAACTCGCCCCTACTTTACGCACGTTCCCGCCCATGCTAATTTCTCGTTAACAGCGCGGCCAAATAGAGAGACGGGGCCTGATTTAGCGTACGGTAATTCGAGCGTAGCCTAATGGTCGAAAACGTGGCCGATGAGAGTTGCTCGTCCATGCGTGTGCCACGTTAACCCAATCGAATCCTCTGATCCTTCTATGTACCTTGTCCACTGTGTCCATCCATCTACTTAAACGGAAAAACCGTCTGCTTTGTCCGAACTCGAATTTCTCCCATTATTTTTTTAATATTAACATTCTACATTTTGTTTCAGGTTGATATGAAGCCTCTACGGGAGGCGGCGATCGCTGTTCCGACGACGAAGATCTCGGAGAAGCGGAAAGCCGATGAAGCCGACGCGAGTATGGACTTGAAGAAGGTGAGTTTAAAAAACAATGTTCAGTTCAACTTTTCAAAACATCAAGAACACGACTAAAGACATGACTAAAGATTCACAACTGATTTTGACTGACAACTAAAAATTGCATAATAGAAACTTGTCGGTACAAATCATTTTCCAAAAAGATGCAAAGGGGTAAAAAGAATGGTCGAGTGTACGAGATGTATGTATCTGGAAGGCAAGCATTATGCCAGAAGCAGAGGATCCTTAGCCAGCGAATTTCGGCGGAACAGGTCCGAGAGTGTGGGTCATATTTCACTCGGTAGCCAAGTATCTCGCTGGTACTCGTCGATATTCGACGCACAGAGCATCCTGCTATCGTCATGGGCCACGTCCTCATTAATCCACGACGGGCCAGTCATCATTAACGAAATAAACGCCCGTGAACCGCCCTACCTTTTGAAATTTGACGATGTTCGTTCCGTTGACGCGTACCATTCTGACGAAGCCATTTTCGGACTCGTCGTAAATCTTCTTTCCCTCTATTCTCGTTCCTCTCTTATATCCACCGTTATTTTCGATAACGCTTGTTCGAAGTTTTATTTTTATCATATAAATTTTAATGATATTTAAATATCTGCTCTGGGCTCTCGAGCAATCGAATACTCGACTGATCGAGTGCATGCATTACTCGGATTTTTAAATATCCGTGTTAAACGCTGTTCTTGAAATTCTTGGCCGTTTAAATACTCTTTGATGCAACTACTTGTGGCAAGTACAAAAGAGCAGAAGAAACGCAAAAATAAAAATTGTGCAACTTCTGCAGGCAACTTGGCGGAAGAAGGAAAAAGGAAACGATAGAAGACAGCGTTTAAAAGGACTCGTAAAAAATTGTGTTACAAATTACGGGGCCATGGAACTGCGCACAACAACCCAAGGGAACAAGAATTTCCTTGCTCCTTTGATCACGGCGTTTCACTAATTTCGACGTAATTACCCCCGCGAGGAACGACGGTGAGCGGATAATTTACCGTCGCCCGTTTGTTTTTCTTGGTTTTTTCTTCTTTTTTCAATGTCCCTGCCAGCGAGTTCACTGCCTCGAGATCCACTCGAAATTAATTGCTCAAGGTAGCGCTTAAAGTCTTGAAGCCGACGACTTGAACGCTTTTGTTGATCCGTCGTTAATCCAGCCAGGGAGAGGGAAACGCGTGCCGGAACTGGAAATAAATTTTCGCTCCTGGTCTGAAATCGTCGAGAAGGATTTCCCTCTCGGTAATTTACTCTTATTCGTAATTTAATGATACCAAGGATTCTGTTGCTACCTTACGTTTCAATTGTTCGCTTTAACGATTGATGCTTGATGAATTAAAAGCTACTGCAGAGGGTGGCTTGTCCTTGTTTCCACCGTCACTTTCTTAATCGCTTTATGCTCTTATTTCGCCGGGGTTGAATTCGAGGGATGTTGAAATTTCACTACCATTAATTCCTAACGAGAGAAGATTCGATGTCGATATTTTTTATAAATTATCTGACGCCATTTTGTGACGGACAAGTAACACAAAATGTCACTCACGCTACATTAAAGCTTAAACATCCGTGAAACTGACCATACAAACCGTTCATTAATATCCTTGGTATAAATAGATCGGATCTCGCTTGTAACAATGTTCATTTTTAACGAACACTTTCAATTTGCCTCTAAGAGTTTTCATTTCTCGAACGCGCGGCATTATCGCAAACGGTCGAGAAGATTTCGCTGAAATATTTAATGGAGAAAGAAAATTCTTTAAATAGAATCCTCGAAGCAATGGAAACGATAAGTGGATGAATTCTTCGATTTCCTTAAAGCCTCAAGAGGCGGAACGAGGGAAACGTCATGGAATATTGAATAGCCAGCTCGAACGCGACTCGTTGCCATTAAAATCTCAATAACAGAGAACGTTTAAAGTCTCTTTCAATCCTCCTGTATCGTTTACGTTTTGTTTACCTTGCTCGACGATCTCTTCATCCTTTCTCGATGGATTACGGTATTTTTCCGACGACGACGTCCGTCGCACAGCAACAGGCGGCTGCAAGCTGCATCCATGAACTTTGCCGGCTTCCTTGATGGGCATTTTTCAAACGTATTTACTCTGCTATCTGCTACCTATGTCGTTTCATATCAAATATTGAACAAACGTACATCTCCATCACAATTGGAGATTCGGGAACAATATTTGATTACCGAGACTTTGAAGATTTCAAATGTTTTCTATTACGAAATTGATGGCAATATAACTACACGTATTATAACTTGAAACGAATCGGTGTCCTTTCATTCAAGCAGATCCTCTGAGATCTTTTGCGCAGGCTGGTATTTGAGCCTGTCAAGGAACTTTGTCCTTTCACGGCTGAAAGGAAGTTGCCGAAGAATGGAAGTTCGAGGACACGCCTAAATGGCAGGATGTTGAGCAAAGATTTCGGCGCCACGAAGAAACCTTTTGAGCGCTTTGAGAGTAATTCCTCCAGAGGACTGGAACGATTCCAACGACTTTCAAGCTTTTAAATGTTGCTATTTGAATCTCTTATGAATTTTATCTCGAGTATCATTCCTCGACGAACTCGTCGGACGAAATTTTTGACGTGTCGAAATGCTTTCACGACCGGTCGAGTTGAAAATCTACGGAGAAATAGGTACATCCAATTTTCCGAAAAACTTCCGTTCGAAAGTTGCGAAGAATTTTCTACTCTGAGCGCTGTGGTTCACCGATGCTGCAGGAATCCAAGGTTTTTTTGCACTATGTTCGACATCTGTGAAAAAATTGGAATGTTATCGATGATCGAACAACTTCCAAAATGAAAGTTCGCGAGAAACGAAGTGTGTAAGTTAACGCTCCAAAAATTTGACGAGTTTGCAAAATCCCATTTCCTTTGCATTTGATAGGAAATTGCAGATATTGGTTTCTATGATACCGCACGATTGCAAAAATTGCAAAATTCTCGCTTGGAAAATATCCAAATATCAATTTCTGACTCTGAAAATGACAGTCCTGACAGGGAGGATAATTTGAAAATCGCAGCCGGTAAATAGCAACGAAAAGGTTGGCCACAGGAAATCAAACCGTCTCCCCAAAAAAAGGAATCAAGCTCGAATCCTGGAGGATAAGAAACAGCGATGAAAAGAGCCCACAGGATCAGTTCCATCCAATAGCAACGAAAGAAAGGATCTCATCAACGAACGGAACGCGTCAAAGTGAGTAAAGAGTAAATGGCGAAAGGGCGGTTACCGGATTCACGAGCAGAAGGCCTAAAAAGCGGTAAAAACGGCACGGAACGGAGGGTTGAAACGTGGAAAGGAGACGTTGACTTGTAGACAGTAACCGTGACTCGAGGGGGTTGCTAAGGGGTGAAGGGATAGCCGAAAGGTGGGTCGATACAGCCCGAAAGTCCAGAACAGGGCGAGTGGCGCGAAAATTCGGCTGCTTTCTTCTGCTCCTTTTTCCTCCCTCGTTTCCGTTTATTTTCCTCCGGGCAACTTGCACCCGAGTTTCGACATCGTGTCTGGAACTCGGAACACTTTATTTTGCGATCGAACGCGGTGATCTCTTCTTTTTTCCCCTTCTTATCTTCGGCGAATTTTACGCTGTCCTTGGAACTATTAATGGGCTTGCAAACTCGTTATCTATCAGATGTGCTTTCTCCTTTTTACGAGATCGAATATGATTTTTATTCTGCCCCAAATTTTTTACAGGGCAATTGTTGCACGTTGTAGTTAAATTTAATCTTTTGGAATCTAATTATAAAGTATCGTATTTAAATTATTCTCCCAACTGGGAATTTTGTAAGAGAATCATGTAACCACATGATCCGATCAATAAAAAGAAGAAGTAAGAAAAGTTTTAATATTAATATCTTGAACGAAGATGAAATTAATTATACAAGTCCCAGACCGATACATAAATTGTTTAACCAGTAAGTTCTCCGTATCAAATCGATCGACTTCGCCTTCTAAAATTATGCACGACCCTGATTAACTTCGCATTTCTTTTCCCGCTACTAATGTAAATTTAATTGCGATTTAAATATCATTATCGACATGGTTGATTGTCGCTGGGAAACGGGTCTCCCGGTAAATCGAATAAACCACGTTTAATTCACGGTCCCACGAACTCGCTAAATTAAATTTACGTTCGCTGGCCAAGTGCCCTGCGTTGCCGTTTGATCGTCGTTACTTAGCGCTGAAACGCGGTTCAAATTTGGTAAAAGCGGATGGTTATAAACGTCGAGGATGCTCGATTCGATTACACTGTTTCTGCTAACGAGAGATTTTTCGCCCTCGACTTTTCCTGATTCCACTTTTATCATGTCACAATAAATAGATCAATTGAGTTCAAATTCCAAATCTGATTTATGATGTGATTCGGAATAAAAATTTAAGTAGTACCCAGTGAAATTTGTCGTACCGGAGAGATCTCTATCTTTAGCATTGACCACGATCATTTTTACCAAGCATAGCACATTTGGGGCTATGGAGAATTTTAACCCTTTGCACTCGAAGGTAATTTGACTGTTTACGAGCAACTGTAAAACTTAGTTAAAAAATTAAATGTATTCCCTTGAGGTTATTCTTTCTCTACTAATAATTTGCACTGTTTATTTCATTATGTTTATACATCACGCGTGTCATATTATAGAATCAGTTAAAAAATGCTTATTTCAAATTATTGTATTAAATAGAATGGTGACTGAGAGTCACCTCTCGAGTGCAAAGGGTTAAGAACTATACCCTGACCGCAGTGTAGCTGCACGCGAATCCTGCAGTTTCTAATCAAATCTAATGCTTTGTTTTTGCCTTTTATGGAAATTTCGAGGTATAGCGAAAACTATGAATTACCACTCGACGAGCACTTTGGCGGAGAATAGAATTCTCGGTCATTTAACGAACAAAGGGCGCGGTTCTGTGTCGTCGATCTCGAAACGCGTTAACGATGTACATACACATCTCGACACGGCTGATCAAGCGATATTCGCGTGTTGCTGGAGAGCCTTTCAATTACATACTTGGTCGTTTCTGTTGCTCGCTGGAGGATATCGATCGAATCGGTTTGCTCGTCGCGAATTCGTGTTACGCGCACACCCTCGGCTAATCGGATTTACATGGGTCGATGTTTCGGCTAATTATTGTCTTAATTAAAACGCGAAACGGCGCGCAGCGCCGGCGCGAGTTTCGGAATATTAGGATCCATTAATGTAATGCGCCGTTTGTCCCGAAAATCGAGCATCCGGCCGTCGTTTCGAGCCTTTAATTACCGAGCTGATTAACAGATATTAAAACGAGTCGGTCATGATTTTCACCGGACCTTCTAATGGTCCCACGGTGATCAACGGCCTTAATAAAATCGATATTTGCCCGCTGACCCGACTAGAAGATCCCGTTAAACACTCTTCTACCGAAGCTTTTCTTTCTCCTTCGATCGCGGAAAAATTTATTTTTCCTTCAAATAACGACGTCCAACTTTAACATTTTAAACTTTTTAACTTTTGGATTCGGTTCAACGAGGTTTCATGAAATTTCAATCATGTTTTTTTGTCTTCTTTGTTTTTCAAGGGAGATCTGGGAGAGACTCGAGCCACAGGGAATAGGTAAATTGAAATCGATTAAACGTTAATTAATTATGCTTATTAAAGGAACCTCAGCGAATTAAGCGGATGATCTCGAATACGTTCGTTGGCTGGAAATTCTAAATTAATTCCTCTGTCTGTGTAATGGCTTCCTGAAATGTATGAGCTCCGCGAACGATGAGAAAATGTCTCTTGAAAATGTCTTTCGCGGTTTTTCGTGCATTTGCATTTTGCACTGCTCTGCGAAACTCTCTTTAGATGGAGTCGGATAATCTGTACAAATTATATCCGTGTTCAATTAAAAACGGTTAAAAAAGACATTCAACCTACATAATTATTCGCATAAAAATAATAATTAACGTACAAATTTAGTTATAAAACCTTTGCGTAAAAAAAATAAGCCAATAATTTGTAGAATGGCTTTAAAATTCTGTTCTTTCGAGTTAACGCGGTTAATGCTCGAAAAGCGTAAAACGAAAAAAGGTACGAACTATCGAAGTTCGAAAGTGGTCTCGCTAAAAAGTATTCGCTTTATCGCGAACCCCTTTTGATACCAATGCTTTTTCCACCACGCTGTATCAGCAACCAGTGAGAACATGAACATCCATGTCTGACCACATCGTTCTCTATCTACTGAACGACTAACCGCGAGTGATAAATGCCGTTCCAAATTATTACGTTCTCTTATCTTTCAGCTGAACTTTTTTACCATTTCTACGATGTCGAACTTTATTTTCTAGCTTTCAGATTCCGATTCGGATAGGAACTCGATTTACAGACTTTCGAATGTGAAATCTGACAGCATGACAAAAATGGTTGTATAAAAATTCTGTCTGTATTCTTAAGACTGGAACAGTGACAAGACTCGACACTATTTTTAACACTCGATTTACGTTAAAAATTAAAGCACACAGATCATTTATACGTTGTTGCAATGTCCACTAAATTAAATAGAACGTAAAGTATTAACAGGTTCTATTTAATCGTGCACCGTAATGGAAGAAACCTTCCGAAAGTTTCCGGTCAATTTCCCGTTCGATTCTAATCCATTTTCTCGAAACGTGGGCCAACTATCGTGGCTGACCTATGTCGCCCTTTGTTCCAGGCGAAATTGGAAACGAAAGCCCTAAAAGCGAAGAGGCCAGGATTCACGGACGAGCGGTACAACGAAACCAGCTACTACGTGGAGAACGGTCAGTATAAGCCCACGTACAGTTGATCGTTTTACGTTTAATCCGCCGGACAACTCGGCCCGACCAATATACTCGATATTATCCAATAAATTGCTCCCCGTGAAAACGTCACTGTCCCCTAGGATCGTTAGAACGATCACTCTCGACGTATACGAGCAATTAACGGTTAACGTCCAGATTTATGACGGCTGATCGATTATCGATCAATGATACCGCCCCTGACCAATTAGATTAGGCGCTGGAGACACATTTTCAGGTAATGTGGTTAAATATCGTGGCACTTTTATCGTCGACGTGCATATGTTTGCTCATGGAATTTCGCTATTTTTATTGGGGTATTTTAACTGTGACGTCAAACATTATTTCTACTGCGGGTAGTTAATTTGGGGGGACAGAGCTTTGTACTTTGGAAATTCACAGATTTAGAAACTTACAGTTTAGGGACTTTAGAATTTTAGAATTTCAGGAATTTAGAAGTTTACACATTTAGGAATTTTGTGATTTAGAGGCAGCTGCATTTTATTAATATTTATTTGAAATATTCTTAGTGATTTTACTAGTGGAGCCAATAAAATATTGGCATTAGAAAATTGTTGATTCACCGTACTCCATCTTCGCTATCATGATGCAGCACGTTCCTAACGACAGGATCGACAGTGTCGTCGGACATTTCAATTACCCGTGGATGTTAATTAAAAATCGAGTGACTGGCGACGTTCGTTTGATCGATTCCAGCCGCGTTGATTGTTGGGAGAAAACAGCCGTTACACGCGGATATTACGAAAATCCAGCGTGTTTAAACGAACGTCGCTTTATCGAGTATCAATAGGTTCTGTAATTAAAGTACATGCTCGCGGCGATGGCTGCCATTATGTTTCCAGCTCGCGCCGCGCATTATCGGCATTCCGCGAGGATCGTTTGATAGACAGACACTGATAGGCGGCTCGGCTAAGCTCGTTAACGGAAGTAACGTTTATCCGTCAATAACGAACGTTTCAGACATCGTGGGAATATGTATTAAGAGAATAAATGCTGATTTCTTAAGCACTTACGATCATTCGATCTTGGATACGTCTTTCTGCAGACACAGGAATAATTTAGCAACTTCTGTATAATGTTGATATTTGTAAGCGAAATAATTTCTAAGCAAAATAGAGGGAATAAGGAAATTGCTGTAGTAAAGTAGCCGGTTAGTTCCCCGATGTAATCGCGGAGAAATAGATAGGTACAGTAAAAAGAAAAGGAAGCGTTCTCGGGAAAGAAATCGACAAATTACAGAAAGAGATTGGAAAAAAGATTCTTCCAGTTGGAAGAATGGCGATAATCCAATTTCCGAGGAATATTTATTGAAAAAAGATTGGTGGAATAAGTCACGGGGGAATATTTTAACATAAGATATTCGTGGGAAGGAAATTGATAAATTAGGGAAAGGGGTAGTAACCTAATATCACGGACATTTATTGATCCAGGAAAATGGATAGTAATTCATGATCGTCGAGATAAAAATGATAAATTAGAGGGTGAGGTGGTAGCCTAACATTACGGAGGAATTGCCGAGAAAAAATATAGCGTTTCTAAGCAAGATCAATAAAATGTCATAGAAGGTTCATAGAACTAGTTCCACATAGTCGAAGCAAAAAACGTTTCACAAATAAAATTTTCGCAGAAAGCTAAGAATTATTATGAAAATTAAGCTCGTAATTCCTGTGATTTTTAATCTGTAATCTGCAAACGATCCGAAATTACCAACTTCCTAAAGAAATATCCCCAAGCCCTTAAAGGCTCGAAATCTGTTCGGAAGTAAAAGGAGCGTGCCACAGTTTCCTGTTTGCCGAATTCCGAGCGCATCTGAGAACTCGCGATTCCTCTCGAAATTGGCCGAAAGTTATTGGCCGATCGATAGTTATCGATTACTTGGAAGTTCATTATTGCAAGTTGCAGAGTCGCGTTCGCGATAACAGGGCCGTTCTCGTGGGTAGCAAGTCGAAAGGAAAGCCGGGTGCTCGAAGCACGTAAGGACCGAGTCTTGGAGAACAAGGCTGACTCTCGAACGAAAAGAGCGAGGGGGTTTCGCGGGGGCTGCTGGTTCGAACGCAAGAAAGGGGTGGTATAGAGGAGCGAAAATCGATCGAATATTTAGACCTGCTGGCATATCGACAACCAATATCTGCTCCACATTCGAATAATAGACTCGCGCCGCTGACGGGGCATCCTCCATGTTCCTCCTCCAACGAAACAAAGACCTATTAATGCCACTCGAAAGACACACACGCCTACGGTGTGGTGTGCTCTGGTGTACCGTGGTGTACGGTGTGCTTTCGATGGACGTACCCTTAACGCATTCCATTACCCGGAGACTGCGGTGACACCCGGCCAAACAGGATTCTCCTTTCTCTTCGTATTTATGTCTTCCCAGCTTTCTGTGCCGCGTTTCCTCGATCGTGGATTAACTTCTTTCTCCGCAATCATACCGTTTCCACAGCGAATCCTTGTCCTAGGGAATTCCCGAGGTTACCCGGAAGTTTTAGGTTCCAGGAAGTCTCATGGGATTCTGGGGGATTCTCCGAGACGGTCCCACGGATTATAGAGAATCCTTAGATTCCAGGAAACCGTACCAATTGTATCTGATTTTAGAGAAATTGCTGCGGATTTCTCGTCGAGTCTGGGATTAATTAAAATATATCACTGCACGGTAATTTTCAGAGACGAAAACACAGCGTGTTAAATTTTTGCAGGATGAAACGAAGCATGGGCTAAGATAGACCATAAGGGACAAAATCGAGTAAAATTCACGGGACGATTAAATCGATCGGCCGGGTGGAATCGAGGTACGAAATTGGTCGGGTTTGAAGGGCTACGTTATCCGAGCCAGCTCGATGCAACGTTCACGCTGCTGGAAGCTCATAGCAGGCCGATCAACCCCGATGTTTCTGATACACGTGTATACATGTAGGATTGGTAGGAGGAGCTTGTACGTGATTCAAATCTAGATTCGATCCTATCTGGCTCGCTAAAGCCCACCCAGCACGGTATTGGTCCAAGAAATTCTTGGATCATGCTACCTTTCGTCCATCTTCCCTTTGTCTATCTATCTTCTTACCGATACTTCCCGTACCTTTCCAAATTTCTATTGAATTTTTATTCGTTTTCCTTTATTAAATTTCGGGAAGGTTTGTTAAATATTGACCGAAGAAAATTGCTTAAATAGAAATGAAAACCCGCGTATTCTACTCGTGCGTATCACTTTTCGTATCTCTGTCCTGTCTATCCTGCGTCTTTGCGCCTTTCCCTACCACTGCTCTTGAGCTTTTCTTTTCAAAAGACTTCGTGAAACCAAGTCTTTTTCGTGCCTCGAGGATTCACCAAGCTTTCCTTTCCAGTTAGCAGGTTGCCTCTGCAGAAGTTGCTGTTTTTGCCTCCCTAGATATTTCAGATCTTCGTCTTGCACGTGCACTGCGATAGGATGATGCTTTCCTTTTGCCCGTCGGCTGTTTCTTGAGTAGCGAAGTTGAAGTACTTAGTTTTATTGAGCGTTAAAGCTTCCAGAATCTTGGAGCCGTAGCTCGCCTTCTTGTAATTAGAATAGAAGTAATTAGATTTCGCTTGTTACGCAGCCGAGAATACCTTTCGTTGCAACTTTATTGCCTATGGAAATTCTCGGTTTACTCTGAATCTTGAATTGTTCAAAATTTCAACTTAGCTAATCGTCCTTTCCAAATTTCGAAATTTAGGGATTTAGAAATTTCGACATTTCAAGGTTTAGAAATTAAGGGATTTCGCTGAGACTCTCCAATTTTCAAAATGAAGTAACAAATGAAATTTGCCGCCATCTCACCCGCTGTTCATATGTTACTTTTCTTTGAAGATAGATTTAAAAAAAGAGGCAGCGAATGAATTAATCGTTGATCAATGTCGCGACCGAATTTCGTTGAGTGCAATCTTGCTCGAGAAACGTGTCTTTAATGTATCCTTTTGTCGTTCCCCCAGGAAGAATTCTCCGCCATTATTACTTTCTCTGTAAGCGGAGTACAATAATGTAGAGGAAACTCTTTTTCTTTCAAACCTTTTTTCTTGTTATTAAAGTAGAACAAGTAGGCGGACGCCATCGGTCTGTCACATACGTCGTAAAAAAACTGTGACAAGAAGCTTCTGGTTATAGATATATAGGGTGTCTTTTATGACTCGAGAGTTCTTTGTCTTCAAAAATTCGTGGCTGAACAAGTCTTTCGCGATATGCTGAAAAAACAATAAACGAAACAACAGGCAAAATTTTTCGGGACTATTCTTTCAAACACACTGACATATCTATACACTTTTACTATACTTTTGTCAACTCTTCTCATGTATTAAATCAGTTATAATAAATTCTTTAAGATAACGTAGCAAACCCTTAACATAATTTAAAAGAATAATCAGAGAAGAATTACTGCTTCGTTAATATTTCTGAAGATAGAAACACCGGGTAGATAAAACGAATCTGGTCGAATTCAGGTTCCAACCCTTGTATCTTTTTTCTTGGTCGACTTTGCGTCTCAAACGACCCTCTAAGCAAGAAAAAATATTTCTCCTCCAACCCCCTCTGACCCTGTCACTTCTTTCTCTGTTTCCCTCGCCGGGTTTTTATTCTGCTGCCGGAAACTCCGGCTATCGTTGTCGTCGTTATCGTCGTCTTCATTCCAGAAGTCAAGTCCTGGAAACGGTTCATGACTTTGTGGCGGATTCCCACCGGAAGTTCGCTGATTCCTCCCTGGCTTTGCATTCTAGACCCGATTCTTTTTCCGTTTTAATTTCCTTTCATTTGCAAATTGCGAACGCCTGCAATTCTTTCGCTGAAGAAATATTTTCACCTTTGTTCATTAATCATTTTCAAATTTTCGTGTGTATCTAACAATCTATCACGTGTTAATTTGCACCGTTCTCGGATCCGCAATTTATGCGCCTGATTAAAAATCTAGTGTCACTTGAAGAGGATCACCAAAGGTGTGACTGGGAGGATCGCCAAGACGCACGCGAATTCACCATAATCTCGATATAGCACACATCCGCCCCTAAATTCGAGGCTTCTGTCCGCCCGTGTATAATTCGCGGTGAGATAAGATTAGGGGGTAAGAGAGGGAGTACAAGACCCCCGTTGGGTAGATACAGGTCCACGATTTAGTGTCGTGGTGTAATGATACGTTGTGGAGGTGGGTGCTGTACTCTTCCCCAACGGCGATCGCTGCCCGATAACCTACCAGAATATTAACGATTCTTAGCCGGTAGCTAGTGATTTTCTACGGCCTGTGGCCGATAAGTATTCGTAAACCAGATAGAACTCCCTATGTGCCCCGACTCGGAAATTTTTATTCCATCATTTTATGTCTGTTTCGGTCTTCTATCATTTATAATTATAAAATTTGCGAGTGTACTTCTGATGTATTTTAAACTTGTCGAAATGCCAGTAATATTAAGATTTTCGGTTTCCCGAAAGTTATAAACGCGAAGTTTGCGTGGTTCAACTGGCCGGACATTTCCGCGATAACATATTTGTTTAAATTTCATCGTGTTCAGTGAGTCGATTCGCTTTGGGTATTCGGATGAAAGGAAATGTTGCGCGTAACAAAATGCAGCCGCTGGAAATGTAATGCACGATCGAGAACGTTGGTGAAATGCTTTTAACAGTGCGGTTATATTTTATGCGCCGTCGCCGTTCCAAATTAATCCGCCGTCGATTTAAATTTTAATAATGTTCCCTCGGGGAAAAAATATTTCTAATATTACACTCCTTTGCCTTTTTCACCGATGAACCATACGATTCGCAAATAATTCTTTTTTCATCCGCGGAAGCAATTTTTCTGCGGACGAGTACGAACGTCGATCGATAGGGTATAAAATTCAAAGTAGTGGCAACGAGGTTCGTTAGAAGCCGTAAAATATGTGCTACCATTTGCATGAACCGAGTGAAAGAAATCGCGTGGATCTCACGCACTCCTCGCTTTCGATTCGATCTTCTACCGCGAATAGATCGCTGATAACCGGGGTGTTTTTAATTGATACCTGGAATGTTCCTACCTTCGAGTTTCGTTCGGTTTATCTAATTTATCCAGCGAGTTGCAGCCATTGACTCATTGAGACCAGCTCTAAATTGTTTAAAATTCTGTACGTTGTTTACAAAATTCCTCATGACGCGTCCCAGAGATGTCCACTTTAAATCAAATTAAATTACCTACATTTGTCTCTTACACAATAAGCCAAAATTTACGATTTCGTCTCGTCTATTTGTCAGATCAGTCTTCGCATAAATAGCCCGAGATTTATGGACAGATTCAACATGAATTTACATTCACCGATGGTACATCGAAAACTCGTGTAAATAATTTCGGTCGTAGAAAATGGCGAATTACGGCGAACGTAGTGGAAATAGTTTGGCATGCGATGCTTCGGACGTTTCAGCATTTATCATTCCAGAACAATCTAGATAGGCGTGTTAACGATGTCCCCCTGGAAGGGTGTTAATTGCATAGCCGCTTCAGAGGAGTACATTCCAGTCCCAGATACTCCAGTCTTTGTTGTCCCTTATGGCGTACATCTTGCTGCGACATTATCGATCAACAATTTGTATGCCCGGAGGGCTCTTCCCTGTATTTGCACGGCACATTATCCTATTGGCAAATTCAAAACTTCACGCAGCCGCTTAATCCTTGTACAAATACACTCTCACGGTAAAAATAATCGAATTCAAAGTTGCGATCAGCAGGCAGCCTGCGGTTTTTTAAAGAAACCGCTTACGTAATAAGGTAGGTTCGTTTAAAGGAAGGCCCTTTCCGAAACGAGGGTTATGTAACGTTACATGCGAACAACATCGATGTCGTTGAAAGAGCTGCCCCCTTGTAAGATAATGAATCTCGTGAACGATTCTCGAATCGTTCGTTGAAGGACGAAAATGGCCGAAGTACGCTGTGAACGTGGGTCAAAAAGCGTTACCCGACCGCTGAAACTGACAAAGTTTCCGGAGGAGGCTTAACTGGCGCGTCGCTGAGGACGATGCATTGTCTCCTCGACGATCTCTTCTTCTCCAACCCCCGAAGAGCTTCCTTCCTTCCTTCCGATCTCTGAAGAACCTTCGGAATCCCCTTTACACCCTGTGTCGACGGTTTCGCGCCTCTTGGCACGTTTCACCCTCGCCACGTAATCCCGATCCCTCCCTGTCTGCTCGAGTGTTTCGTGGCCCCTTTAAGCCGCCCCCTTTTTTTCGCTCTTTCCGCTTCGCGTGTACCCCCGCCCTTTTTACCGCCCTCGTATCGCGACTCTCTATTTAAGAAGCGTAGAGTACCAGCAACGCCTTCTTAAACGAGAATCGTGCTCGATCTCTTCGATCCATTTCCTCTCCTTGATCTACCTTCTTGCTCAATTGTGCTTCTCGAGATGTTTGAACTATTTTTTCTCTTTCTTTTCGCCCGTTCCGCCAGCTGGAGGGTCCCCGATCGTGTTCCATATTTCTATTCTCGAATCGTAAGACTCGCTAAAATATCTTATAGTTCAGGGCTTAACACTTCGGGGATTTGGAAATTTGCGAACACGAATAGGGTTGCATCGCACTTGTAACAGGAAGAATAAGAACCATCGGCACTCGGAAAGAAATGGAGCGAATCTAACCTGCACAGAATTTGTCCTTCCCGCGAATAAAGAGAAGATTAAGCGACTATACGGGTAGTTGAACCGTTAAGAAATACGTCTGTTTTCGCGTCGATTTTGTTAAAATATCGACCGGTATGCTGATTGTGCCGTGTCTCGTGTCGATTTATCAAGCACGTCAGACAACGAAGAGCCACACGACCGCGTCATTTATCACCGGTGTTTCAATTAATTAGGGCGTCGCTCGTCCCTTCTTTTCGGAGGAATAAAATTCTCGTTGCTTTTCGCCACGGCTCAAAGAACACGATGTAGAATACGTGGATTGCTCTCGCCTCGATGGCACACCCTCTTCGAGGCCCTTCATAAATTGCAGGGTAATCTTTTTCTTCGATAAAAAGGAAAAGCCAACCACCTCTTCCCGTCTCTGTCAGTCTGCTCTTATCCACGAGCCAACACGCCGTCCCCTCTTCTCTTTTTTTCTTTTCTTTTCCCCTCTTTCCGGTTCGCCGAGCCGATCGAAGCTTTCCGGCTGTTTAATTAAAATGATTTTAATTGCGAAAATGGAGCCGAACGATCTTCTCCCGTCATCCGTTGCTTCAATTCTCTTTGTAATTTCATCTTCGATCGAAAGAGTATCTGCGTTTGGATTTCTTCTTGACGCTGTTCTTTTTCGGAATCGTGCTTTTTTATCGGAACAAATTTTACCTCTGTTAGACTGACAAATTCTGACATTGGATATTAATTTCACTTTGTTTTTCAATCAAATTTGCGTGAGTATTCTGCAGATGTATCAACGATAATGAAAAAGTAAAATATGAAACATGGATAAGTTTCATATTCGCGTTTATCCAAAGGGATGAATGCGTTCCCTGAGGACCTCATCTGGCGAACTCTTCTCTGTGGCCATCGATCCCCATGAAAACTCGCTAAACAGACCCGTGTGTAATTGCGCCCCTTGCACAGCGTGATCCACCAATTACACGCAATAATTGTCCTACCTCCCCTATCTCGATGCTCGAAATGATAGAAGAAACTCTTTGGCAGAAGGTTTCCCTGCAAAATTGCACGATTTTCGAGCCGGTGAACGTCGGTGCGTAATTTGGGAGCTTACGGAGTACAACCTACGAAACACCGACTATGGTTCAAACTTTGTACAATTATACTGGATATCAGAAATAAGAAGTTTGCGAAACTAGCTTCTCAACATTGGAGAGAATTTATGCTGAAAGTTGTTTCGTTTAATTAGTCGAAAATAAATACCGCTACATTATGCGTTATCCTAATTATCGTAGATAAATTTACCACCAAAATAGCGAGAGTAATTTTGTTTAACGCGAAACTTAAACATTGTTGAACCTTGATGTATCGATGACATTGCAACATTTTCGTATCGAGAGGAATAAAAATCGACACCGTCACGGCGATCTTGATCCACCGTGCCAGAAACGATCGCCACGGATCCAGGCTTCGATTTTGAAGCGGAGCCAAGAGGAAAAACGGACAGGCGAGATCACGCGAGCGTAAAGTGTCGACGAGAGATAATCGCTTGTCGTCCGGATTTATTGTGATATACGCGATTGACATACTTGTCCACGGCGTTTATTTTCGAGCGCTCACCTAGCCAATTTCTAATTAATTACGAAACAATCGCGCCCCTATTTAAAGATCATAATAACGCTATTCGCATCTTTTTCATCACCCCTCTTTCATCTTGCAGTTAATTGTAAATTTTACTCCGAGAGTTCTGTTACACTACGTTGTCTGTTCGCAGGGCTCCGAAAAGTGTACCCTTACTATTTCACCTTCACCACGTTCACGAAGGGCAGATGGGTGGGCGAGAAGATCCTCGAGGTGTTCGCTAGAGAGTTTCGGGCACATCCGGCGGAAGAATACGAGAGATGCATTCGTGCCGGGACGTTGACGGTGAATTATCAAAAGGTGGACGTCGATTATCGATTACGACACAACGATTTACTAGCAAACGTTGTACACAGGTAAGAAAGTGTGTTTAAAAAAGAAACTTATATAAAAAATTGAAACAGCTTTTTACCTTTAAAAAAAGCGTCCATTGCTAAAATCAATCGAGTCGTTTCAAAAGTTCCTGTCGTTTTGTGTTTACGTTAAAAGCACGTTTGTAGATTTCTCGTTGAAACGTCGATCTCGAGACGTCACTTCGGCAACGAGTCTTTTTGCTCGTGTCTGGCAATGGCGGACGGGAAATATGTTTCATGACGAGATTTACCGAAAGGAGTGATTTGAAATAAAATCATATGCCGTCGGAACGTAATAAAAAACCGAGAAACGAAATTTGATGAAAAAGAATTGTAAGGTTCGGGAAATATCGCGATTGTGCGAAGTGATTTTGTAAACTGGAACGGTGTCTGAAGCCCTTTGAATTGAATAGCTTAACGAGCTCTATTTTTCCACGGTACAGGATTTTTCTTTCAATACGACTTGCACGCTCTTTTTTTTCATTCGACTATATGTATTCCTTAATGAATCCCTTATGTATAACCGGTTCCCTCGTTATTTTGCAACGTGGCTGAATAATTTATGAGAATGGTAAGGCGGTATTTTCAAGAAGTCCACGAAGTGCCAAATAAAAATCTGCTATTTACATTTTATTGACTTTGAATCGGCGCTGCGAGTACGTATCGATGTCGTCCATCTTCTTTTCACGGAAACCGGTCTTACGTTAACGACTGCATTTTACAATTCATCATTTAATAATTCCAAAATCAAGATAACTGCTCGATACTTTGGGATTTTGGGAATTTAAAAATTTAGAGATTTGGAAATTTAGACTTTGGAATATTGGGAATTTGAGGACTTGGACCTACAGACTATGCTCTAACATTTCCAGCTCAAAATGTCAACAATCCATTAGTCAATTTCCAATTCCTACAACACTAAAACTCCCGTATATCACGGTAGAAATTGAATCGACCATCTCCCTGAAATTCGATGATCCAAATGTCAGCGTGTCTGATGATGTCATAACTAGATGTCCAGAAGGCTCTCTGTCAAGTCGATAGGTCGAAATCACTGGTATATCCCGTGTGTGAAACTCAGTGAGTGCGTCACAAGTGTTTCGAAGTGCGAAATTATCGTGGGATTCGCGAGCTGGAACCGCATGTTCGGTCGAGTATCGTGGAGACATCCTTGGCACGGATACGAAGGAATCCGCGCTGCAAATGTGGTCGTTTAAACGGGTTTTGTTACTAGACGAGTCTTCCTGTTATCAGTATGTGTCTCGATATCGATGCATTTAGACCGCGCTTCAAATTGACGCTCTTCTCTTCGATCCATTTTCGAGCACATACGATATGGAACAGTGGAAGTATCGATATCATTCCCTACCAATTGATAAATTAGAGCGTTGAAAATTAACGAAAGGACGCAATAAAGAAGTGTAGCAAGTAAAAATCCTAATATCCTTCAATTTCGATCCAAGAAATGAAGTGCAACATAATGGCAGAAAGCATCTATAAATTGAAAAGTAAAATACGTGATTAGGAATATTTGATAAAATTGTTTAAATTCCTGAATGGCTGTCACCGGTAAAGAGCAGTTATCGTGAAGCGGCACGAGACAGTGATTTTCGTCACGAGAGCTCCAAGGATATCCGGACCGACAGGTAAAGTACGATCTTGTTGGAAAGGAAGAAAATTGAATTCCGGAATATGAATTTTTTCCACATTGCTGGACTCATTCTTTTGAAGGTCCTGCGCGGAATGCTCGATGCAGTTGAGCGAACGTAACGAAGAGTTCTTGGAAATGATTCCTTCTGTTTGACGTTGTCCGTTTCTGTTCCAGTGATTTCGAGTGTGCGTCTTAAATGAATAGCCTTTAATATCTACCCGCTGCTCGTGCGAACAAAATTACGCTGCTTCTTTGTACGCGTTGACAAAGAAACGGTATTATGGCTTTATTAACACAAGATGCAGATTGCATTCAAATTTCATTAACTCTTGTTTATACTTCAGATTTAATTGTGAAATTAAATTGGGTCAGTTTGAAGATATTCGGTGTTCTTTAACGATATTTGTAGGAGGATTCTTCGTGGGTATCTTAAACGATAAGATTTCGATGTTATGTCATTGTAACAGCAGTCGTAGCCTCGATCAACCTTTCTTCGCAAGTCGTATTATGGCTGATTTGCATCTAAATCGTCGGCGACATTGAAATTATTCCATCGATCACATCGAACTCTTTCGCCGTGTATAATATCCAGGCCAGTGGCGCGAGAGCCTTCGCCGTTTGTCATCGGATAAACGGTAATAGAAACGTAGACGTAAACGCCAGCGGCGTAGAAATCGTCCCCGAGACGGTGATCTCTTCGAGTATTGCAGAGAAGCCTCGATCAAAACAGGAAACCCGTTCTTAGTGCGGGTGAAGGTCGCTCGAATAGATCATTCGGGTCAGCCTGTGGCTCGTCGACGAACAATAAAACGCGGATGCTTACGTCATCGGCTGAAGAAAGATCTTTTCAATGAGATAAGGCATTGTATTAATTGCCACCGCGTTCTTGAATTAATTGCTCGTCCTGCTCCTCGACTCCTTTAGAAAAATTCTGCAGGAAATTCTGTAGTTTTTTCATTATCAATGTCTTAATTAGAGCTAATTCCTGCACATACTTTTTATCGAATGATTTAACGCTAGAAGTATCTATGTATATAACTTTGTAAGCAAAATATGTCAAATTTGATTCGATTGATATGATGAAATTAATGTGGAAGGTATAAATCAAGGAGAGTGAGATAGCCAAAAAGAAACCAAAGGTTCGAATGGGACCTTGGCATAGTAGGTAGCACGACTACTTTCAAACCCGAAGGTCCTTGGTTCGAATTCCCGAATTCCTCTCTTCTCGTTTTTTCCATATTGTGACATTTTTTGATGGAATATCGAGTATATATAAATATGTTAATATTTTCATATATGTAGAATTATTCGAATAGTTCAAGTATACATCCCTGTTCCATTAATTCAAATAATTCAAATTTGTAGAAGTTGAATTTCTGTTGAATTCGAACTTCGAATATCTCGCATACAAAAATATCATTCAGTAATCGTTTCGCAAGATATCGAGTACGAATAGAGATAAAGCAGTTAAGTACGTAAATTGCTGGGAAATTTAAAATTCAATTACCGTGGAGGGACACTAAGCAACAGCCGGCAATAAAGCCTCGATTACAGTATTCGAATGTAAAGATTGCAAAGATAATGGCTCTGTCTCGGGTGGCCGATGAAAATTAAAACTCGTAACTCGTTAAAAATCAAATCGATCGATCGATAAGAATGCAGCTCGCATTTAACGAACGACGGGGAACAAGGACGAGGTAAAATCCGATTTCCAGGCCAAGAAGATTCTTCGTCGCGTCATCTTCGAGCGACGGCGAACATTCTAATCGTTGACGAGAACGCGTTTCCCTTCTTCTTTGGAAAGGTACTTTGCTCGATTATCGACGACTGTGATAGGTCCCTGATATAATAGCTTCTTTCGCGATCGATCGGCCGATATCTTCGACAAGACATCATCTTCTAATATTCATAGCTCGTGACAATGCCTTTTGTTGCCCTTTGTGGTGCCTTCCATCTCGCGCGATATGTCAGACCATCGACGAAGGTAAATTTTAATATTTTGATTAACGTCTTTTAGATGTACTAAATGATTCGATAATGGATATTGCTGCGAATAAGTTTTACCTCTAAAAGAATGACTGTATTTTTCTTGGTATTTTTCGAACGTCCCTCAGCGTTTTGCAGTTCTACGCTGTAAAATTATGGAAATAATATTCCAAGGAAATCGGCGCTCGTATCCGTAGAAATCCTATGGGAGATGGTCGTTTACGTAACGAATTGTCAAACACCCATTCACGGGATAAACTTTCGGCGAAAGTTAGGCGACGCACAGCCCGACGTCTCCCCACAAATTACTACCCGAGTCTCTGCTTGGAATCCTGAATTTTAATCGTGTTTTAATTTTCCTCGATATCCTTCTTTCAAACGAACTTACCTTTCAATTGCACAGCATATTTTACGTAGTATATTTGCAGTAGAAGAGTTTAATAAACGTGGAAGCAAGGAATAAAATTAATAATCTCGTCACGAACAAGTAAAGACTTAATCGAGTTCCTGCAGAAAAAAGAGACATAGTTGCGTGCAAAGGTTCTTGTATGCAAAAAAGGCGCTTTTGCCGTTAATTGCGGGTACTTCTTTTTCCCCGTTCTTCCGACCGTTCTCGAAATGGAATTTTTACAAGGTGGCGATTTACGTAATTGTATCGGGGATTTCTGCAATAAAAAAGAGGCGACTTACGTAAAGGAACGTTCGAACATCGACGAGAAGGAAGTTTCGAGGATCGTACGGCAACGCGACAAAGGGGGTCGCGTTAATTTCGTCCATTTACGAGGGAGAGTTTCGTAGCTGGCCTCTCGCGGGAGAACAAAACGAGCTACAGGTGCAAGACCAAGAGAAATGTCAACTGCACTTTAATCACGTTTCGAGTGTTCCTTGAACAGTTTATTAGAGCCCGGCTTTTCCACGTTTATTATCCAACGCGACGTTTAACGAGCGAGCTTTAACGTTTCTAATCGCGTCTCGCACCGGCCTCGAAAAATCGCCTTTTTTAATTGTCACGGGACTGAAATATTTTTTTAATTAACACTTTATTCGATCCTGTGTAATTGACGTCATACTTTTTTATTTTAATAATTCTCTTTTATTTTACTAAAATTACTATCTCTGAAGGACGTATGTCTGAAGAGCGTATATGTTCTCAAAAAAAAATTGAAAATTCTCTGAACAGCGTTCACGTGCGTACTTCATAAATGACCCTTTTCGAAGAGCGTATACTCAGTTAACAAAATGACTGTATACGAAAGGGTGAATACGAGTAACATTTTCGATTGAGTCGATATTAAAGTGGCAATCAAAGGAATGAAGTTTAGTTTGAAGTAATGAAAGTTTCCTAGAAATTCCGTCATCGTTGGTT